AAAACTACATCCACTACCAGTAGCAGTGATAACATCAGAAGGAGAAGACATCCCTGATAAAATCTACTTAAATCAAAGAATGCAAAGACCAGAGCAATACGTACCACAGGTGATCGAGTGCTCTCGTTGTCAAAAAGCCTGGGACTCCCGAACCACTTGTGTGAGCGAACAAGAAGTATGCCGATACTGTTCAGAACCACATGCCTTCAACAATTGCCCACTGGCAAAGCTGGACACAGACTTTAGGTCTCCAAATCTGAGCAGAAAGTGCGCAAACTGCTACGGCCAGCACAGCGCCAGAAACCTGGGGTGCCCTTATCTGCAACAATGCCGAGACATAGCAACCACGGCCATACGGGAAAAGATTCCAAACCATGAGGCCCGCAGAAGACACGAAGCAACAAAAGGCATAAAGATAGATATCGCCACCAAACTGAACAACGAGATGGCTCGATTCAAAAGTGACATCCAAGCTCTCAGAGACAAGAAAGAAGCATCTAAATCCCAACGAGATGAAGACAGAGATGAAATAACAAGCCTGAGAGTTATCATGCAGGCGACTCTTGACACCCAGAAACGGATGGCAACAGAGATGATGAATTTCAAGGAGGACATCATAAATGCACTCGCTACTATCCAGACACAGAAGGAACAGCCAACTAAAACAAGGGAAGACAAGACAAATATCACTGATCTGCGGGAGACCCAATAGCTTCTCGAGAAAGAAGTAACAATGATCAAGAAAGCACTTGCTGAAACAGAGGAAAAGTTGCTCAGAGCATACAAAGAAAACAACAGACTAAGCAAGGAACTACAGGCAACCAACAGAGTTATGGAGGAAAGAGAGAAAGCACGAAAAGAAGCAGCAAGAAGGCAGCAAATACAGTCACCCAAACCTCAGGGAGCAGAGACCCAGAAAAAGCCATATCAATTACCAGACAAGAAAATACCGACGCCGCTGATGGGGCAGTTTCCGGACGAAACCACTATACAAATAAACCAACGCATTAGGGAGCTGGAGGATCTGAACTACTTTAACACAGAATTGCAAGAGGATGATGTACCATGGTCATCACCAGAAGAACCGATCCAACAGCCAAAACCTGAAATCAAACGAGGTTGATACCGTTACCACAAACATTAATGCCAGATATGACACCACCAACGCCAAAACTACCTAAACCCTATGTAGGAGAAGCACTTTACAACAAGGATACGAGAAGACCACCAAATAATACCAGACCCCACCATTATTTTCTTCAGTACCTGCACAAAGCAAGCAACCGCTGGTCCTTCTTAGGATAGGCAATCCCCTCTCCTTGGAAACAGCAAACGGCCAATGAATTCCACACAAAATCGACTCAACATCCAATGATCTGGAGCGCAGCACAAGGCCAGCCAAGTTACGAAAGCAGACAATCGAGCGGAAACCACAACAAATAGAAAGCGACAAATACTGAACACAATCCAAAACCAAATGAGATCGAGACCAGAAACGTCACCACAAATATAGCAGACAGGAAAGAGAGCAGAAATGCGATCTGACCTAGCTGAATGGTCAACGTAAAAGAATTAGAATGAATGCTCACTACCTGTGACCTTCCCAGTGAAGCCTGCCACTCTGCTCGAAGCATCCCTGTCTTCACCTTTCTCAGCATGCTTTCAGAATCTGTTACAATTACGACATGTGTATGCATCCTATTCTCTAGCCACTAGAGAGCTGCAGTTATCGCTTCCACCTACATTATCATGCTAGATGTTGTGTTGTCGTATGCTAGGCTGTCTTGCACTAAAGATTTTCCATTTGCTTTCGCTACAAACCCCCAGGCACTTCATTCCTCTTACCACCTCTCACATTTAGTGTACCAACAATACAAGTAACAATAACAGCCTGGTTTAGTGTACCAACAATACAAGTAACAATAACAGCCTGGTTTAGTGTACCAACAATACAAGTAACAATAACAGCCTGGTTTAGTGTACCAACAATACAAGTAACAATAACAGCCATATTTAGTGTACCAACAATACAAGTAACAATAACAGCCTGGTTTAGTGTACCAACAATACAAGTAACAATAACAGCCATATTTAGTGTACCAACAATACAAGTAACAATAACAGCCTGGTTTAGTGTACCAACAATACAAGTAACAATAACAGCCATATTTAGTGTACCAACAATACAAGTAACAATAACAGCCTGGTTTAGTGTACCAACAATACAAGTAACAATAACAGCCATATTTAGTGTACCAACAATACAAGTAACAATAACAGCCTGGTTTAGTGTACCAACAATACAAGTAACAATAACAGCCATATTTAATGTACCAACAATACAAGTAAAAATAACACCCTGGTTTAGTGTACCAACAATACAAGTAACAATAACAGCCATATTTAGTGTACCAACACAAGTGACAATAACAGCTATATTTAGCGTACCAACAATCAAATCACTGCCACAATTAGTGTACCAAACACACAAGTAACAACTGACCTCGACAATATAAGTAACAAATTACAGCCATGTTTAGTGTATTAACATTACATGTAACATGCTGTTAAATAATCTTGTTATTTCCTGATAGCATGTCTCGACAGCCAACTGCACTAGCTACTATGCCACAGCTTTTATTTCAAAAGTAATAAACATTGACTAATGTATTTATCAAAGCACTCAAAAGTCAAGTAATACAGTGCTATTTCACTGTTTTTCTACACCAGAATACCCATTCCTAGCAATGTAATTTTTCTTCTTCTTTAGTATTCTGAGTCCTTGATGTTCACTGCTGCAGATATCACTCACTTTCATTGACCACTTTGCCTGGCCTTCTCTTTCAGTTGATGACTCTAAATGTCTGTAGGTTTGCCATTACATTCTCACTCTGCATTCTTGGTCTGCTTTTACTCAATTCTTTAGTGTAAACAAAATTTTCTCAAATTGTAGATATTCTTCATGACTCAGTAATCAATTATATAAGTACAAATAGCATTTCATCTCACAAGTTAATTATTAGAACAACTGTATGAAGTCCTCTAAAGTAGTGGAGAGCACAAGCACTGCCACCACAGTCTCAGCTCAACTCCACATGGAAGCAAAACTCCCAACTGTATCTCCAGACTGTACAGGATAGACAATGTCAAGTGTTGAGGTGAGATTCAGGCACATGAACACAGCAGGGAGCTCACATGTCCCAACAGGCACATGAACACAGCAGGGAGCTCACATGTCCCAACAGGCACATGAACACAGCAGGGAGCTCACGTGTCCCAACAGGCACATGAACACAGCAGGGAGCTCATATGTCCCAACAGGCACATGAACACAGCAGGGAGCTCACATGTCCCAACAGGCACATGAACACAGCAGGGAGCTCACATGTCCCAACAGGCACATGAACACAGCAGGGAGCTCACATGTCCCAACAGGCACATGAACACAGCAGAGAGCTCACATGTCACACCAGCCAACAAATTCTGTTAAACGTTTATTTCTAGATATCTTCTAGAGAAAACAGCCCAGAATCCAGGAATTCACAAAAAATGTGCAAAAAAATACATTCATTAAACAAATTTGTAAATGTATTTCTTCACATTAAAATACAATGTACAACAATTAAGTAATGAAACTGATTTTATTACGGCCAAGACAAAAGTGTCATCTATGAAGCAAAGCATGGAATCCAAAGAGGCAAGCAACTTTTATCTATGATCTGGCAGACGACAAACAAGCCGACATTTTACTGACCTAGTTAGATGTGGATTGTTACAAAATCAGCATGGAGCAAAAAAGCTAACATTAAATTATTTTTATTAATTCATAAAAAGTGCTATTGAGACAGTTGAATTGATGTGACAAGTTTATGGGGAAAATTGTTCATCAGGTGCACAGATTTTCAGGTGGTATTCACGATTCAAAAGTGGTGTAGAAATGGTTGCTAATGCAGCCAGACCTGGACGCCCAATTTCTGTTTGTAATGATGAACTCATTGCAAAATTCATAGAATGGATACAAGACTATCATTGTTTTACTGTCAGGATGATGGCAGATGAATCGGGTAATTATAGAGAGACCCTTTGTAAAATTTTACTGCAAGAATTTTGGCAAGAAAAAAGTTCCTTGCAGGTTTGTCCACATTAGTTGTCTGATGACCAAATTATCAGCGGGTTGAGTACCCACGAGACATCATCAAAAGAGGAATTTTTGGCCCCAAAACAAGTGTGTGTTCTCAATCCACCCTATTCACCCAGATTTGTCTCCCTGTGATTATTTTATATTCCCAAAATTAAAGTTACCATTCAAAGGATGCTTTTTTTTGACGATACTGATGACATCCAAAGGGCTGTAACATTGACTTTAAGCGCCATAGCAACAGAAGAACTACAGAGGTCATTCTAGTGTTTGTTAGATCATGCTACTCACTGTGTCAATGCACAAGGGGCTTACTTTGAATAAAATACAGGCTATATCTTCAACTGTTGATTCTTTTTAACTGTTATAGAATTAGTTTCATTACTTAATTGTCGGACCTTGTACTTTGAGAAATATATGAATCAATAAACATGAACATAATGGAAAATTAAATGGTTACAGTACCTTCAACATAAAAAAGTGACTCATTTTACTAAAGACTAATAAAGAATTATGTCATCATCGTGGCTAAAAAGCCATTGTTTTGCACAATCAACTCCACAGGTGCTTTTTCAGTAAATGTAATCATATACGGCCCTTCTAAACACTTCCCAGGTACAAATATAATCAATGCCGTAAACTAGTGGCCAATGCAGCAATGCTGGTTAGGCAGCTTCTCAGAAACTGAATACCATCTTCTGACTTGAATAACCTGACATGAAATCTTCAGTGATGATTCACACATTCTCATCACTGGTTCAAGATACTGCCTTTCTGTTGCAGTGTAACTAAAGCATACACATCATCAGGACAGAGTTTAGATGATTATGTTTTCTTTTTCACTTATTGTCTTTCAGTAATACTAACTATTCTCTTGTGGGTGTTTCTGTAATGAATGTTTAAAGCCACGTCCAAGAATAAATACTTCAGCAGAATCATCCCTGCTGGCATCAGGTTTCACAAACCTGACATTGTCAAAGACAGAATTCATGGCATTTTCCAACCTGGGCTGATCACCACCCATCCACAGCTTACACACCAAAGTGCCGCCTTCTTTGAGTACATTCAAACTAAATCGCAGGACAGAAAAACACAGACCAACTATTATGTCATGATTATGTGACTTCAGTCCAGTAGCTCTTGGTGCCATGTCACTAAGAATGACATCTGCCAGCTGACCCTGAAGTATTTCTGTGATTTTACATTGTGTTTCTTTAACTGTGAAATCGCTAGCCTGTAGAAGATGAACACCATCAATTGGTGCCATATTCTGTATGTCTACTCCAATAACCAAACCCTTCGGTGCAGAGGGATCTGAAAGTGACAAAGGCCAATTAAGCAAAAATACAGCATTATAAGTTATAAATATGGCTAATTAAATTGTTAGATTAGAACACTAAAACTGTGGCCGTGAGGCCACAGGCGAACGAGGCTCTGGCTCGCCAGATGGGATGGGGTCCATCTGGTAAAATTTTCCCTTAAACTGCGACTGGCCTAGCAAGCCGGCAGTGGATTTTTTTATTGCTACGAAAATTAGAAAGGAGATAAATAAACGGACAGCCCCAAATGGAAAATGGACTGGAAACGTTAAAGGACGACGAGACAGAAAAACGACTTATGTGGTATTGCCAACAAAGAGCCACAAATAGTGGATTTCATGAAAAGAAAAAATATACACGTCATGGGTCTTGCGGATACAAGAAAGAAAGGATATAATACAAAAGAAATACATGAAAATTATGTTTTATTATGGAGCGGAGTACCCACTAAAGATAGGGCAAAACATGGTGTCGGATTTATACTTCATCCCGAGGCAGCAAAATTAATAACAGGAACAGAATTTATATCAGAAAGAATTATTTTAATCAAGTTGACAGAAGGAAGTAAAACTACAACGATTATTCAGATATATGCACCTTGCAACGATAGTTATTCTGAAGAAGAAAAAGAAGACTTTTACGAGAGACTTACGGACACCATCAATAATGTTAAAGAGAAAGAGGACATCATAGTAATGGGAGATTTTAATGGTAGGGTAGGTAAAAGAAGATCACCATGGGAGAGATACCTTGGCCCATTCAGCGACACAACCACAGATTGCAATAGAAATGGAGAACACCTGTTAAACTTGTGTGCTGAACAAGATCTCTACATTACCAACACATTCTACCAACATCGCCAAAGTCAGGTTAAAACGTGGTACAAGTGGAACAACTTAGATCAAGCGTCACAAATTGATTTTATACTAGTCAGACAACGGCAGAAGAGGACGGTAAGAGACTCAAAAGCTGTCCCAAATGCGGGACTGGATTCAGACCATCGCCCAGTAGTTATGAACATATGCAACTCAAGTAGAAACAGTCTACATAAACAGAAACGTGAAGAAATCATCAACACTAAGAAATTAGAGGAAGAGAATATCAAACATGAATTTGAACTAGAAATAACAAAGGCTTTTGCAGATATTGCCAAGGAACCAGTAAGAATTGAAGAAGAATGGGATTATTATAAATCAACCATCACGAAGATATTAAAAGACAAGTGTGGTACCAGAAAGACGGGCAAAGGCAAGAAAAAGGGTACCGCTTGGTGGAATGAAGAAGTCAAAGAAGCAGTGTCAAATAAAAAGAAGATGTTTCAAATATGGTTAAAAACAAAAGACGAAAAGGATTACATTAGGTACAGACTAACTCGAAGAGACACCAAGAGAACAATAAAGAAATCCAAAGAGGAATCATGGAAAAAGTATGGTGAACACCTAACACAGCTATGTACAGAATCACCAAAAGACTTTTTATAAGAGTGTGAAAGCGATGCGATTAAGAGAAGAAAGCTTCAATCCAACATCAGTCATAAACGATAAAAATGGAAAACCATTATTCAGCCAAAAAGAAATTAAAAAAGATGGGAGGAATATTTTAAAGAACTGTTGAACCCGTCGGGAGTACATGAAACAGCAGAATTCCATTCAAGGGCTCCAGATCATCTAGAACCACATATCCTGCGGGATGAAGTAGAGAAAGTTATCAAAACAAGTAAAAGACACAAAGCAGCTGGTATCGACAGAATAACAACAGAAGTCATCCAGGCTGGAGGGGACACTATGATCACCTGGCTGGAGAGAATTTTCAATAGAGCATGGGCAGAGAGAAAGGTACCAGTGGATTGGCAAAGATCAGTTGTAGTACCTATCTGGAAGAAAAAAGGAAACAAGAGAGAATGTGGAACTTATAGAGGAATATCTTTACTAAGTCATGTGGGGAAAATGTATGCAAAGATCTTAGAAGGTAGGATAAGAGCAAAGGTTGAACCTCTACTGAGTAAAGCACAATTCGGTTTCAGGAAAGGGCGAGGTTGCACTGATGCCATATTTGCACTAAGACAAGTCTGTGAAAAGACACTCGAATACGATAAAGAGCTGAACGTGGTCTTTGTAGATCAAGAGAAGGCATTCGACCGTGTAGACAGAGATGTGCTGTGGAGAATTCTTGACGATTACGGAGTGCAGGGTCAATTATTAGACAACATCAGAGCCCTCTATGAAAAAAGTGAAAGTGCAGTAAGAACATCTAGTGGCCTTTCTGAATGGTTCAAAGTCACAACTGGTGTCAGGCAAGGATGTGTACTGTCACCATTACTTTTCATAACATACATGGATAAGATCACTGTAGAAGCAAACCCAGACGTGTATGCTATAAACAAATTACTTTTGCTGATGATCAAAGCATACTGTATCAAAATGAATATGATCTACAGGAACATCTGACTACTCTCAACAACAGCTGTTTACAACATAATATGAGAATCAGTACAGAAAAAAACAGAAGTTATGAAGATCAGCAGAACACACAGGCCACTGAATATAAATGTTGGAAGTGCCAAAATCAAGCAAACCAAAGAGTTCAAATACTTGGGCAGTATATTTACAGAGGATGGAAGAATGGACAGAGAGATAGAAACAAGAATACAGAAAGCAAATGCTGTCACATACCAACTATCACCTCTGCTTAAACATCCAGATATAACCATGAAGACCAAAAGACAATTGATAAACACCATCTTCATTCCAACACTCTGCTACCAGTGCCAGACATGGACAATCAACAAGACCCATGAAAGAAAAATAGAAGTCTGTGAAATGAAATGTCTAAGAAAAGCAGCGAATAAGACCAGACTAGACAGGATAAAGAATATAGACATTAGAAACACTGTCAAAACTAAACCATGTTTAGACTACATAGAACATCAAAGAATGAAATGGTTTGGACATCTAACCAGGATGAAAAATGATCAAATAACATCACAAATTTTCAACCAAAGAAGCTCAGGATATAAGGCAAGAGGAAGACCAAGGAAACTGTGGATTGACGGGGTCTCCGAAACCTGCCAAAAGCATGGCCTCAGAACATCAGATGCTGCCCGCCTTGCTTATGACAGGAACTTGCATCTCCCCACAACGCTTAGCGGCATACGTGGAAGGAAAAAGTAAAAGTAAAGTAAGATTAGAACACGTCTGGTTATATTTCAACTTGCTACATATATAGAGTACTTGTACTTATAGGGTGAAAGCGGCACACTTAGGCTGATTGTTCCTTGATCAGAAAATCTTTTCTACAGTCAAGACCGTTCTGCTTGACCGAAGAGGCACAAAACACAACGGATCTAGAGGAGACAAACTCGATAAAAAACCCTAAGCCTATGGTAGACCTAGGAGCCCATGGGCTGAATGAATGTGGGTTATACAGTTGTGAACGTGGTATGTCTGGTTAGCAGGTGGGGCGGCGCCAGGCGTATGGACTCCGTCAGGACATCTCCTGCCTCTTCCCAAGCAAGCAGGCAATACTAGGGGGACCGTTTACTTCCTGCATTGAAAGATTTTTTAAAAATAGATTTTAAATTAAATAATAAAAGAATCATCACTGGCGCTAAGGAGTGCGTGCTCTGTGTTTGATACCATCTTCAGATGGCAACGGAGAGAGTGGGAGGAGGAGAAGACGAGGAAATGGAGAGGGGAGAAGGCATAGAAATAGGAAAGCAGGAGCCCAGAGAGTCTGACAAAAAACAGAGCGTCTTTGATTAAAGCATATTAGAGTGGGTTACTGGAATTGTCGTAGTGCCAAGCAGAGAGGACCTGTACTGGAGAGACTGATTAATGACTTTGATATCATCATGCTGCAGGAATTAAACATAGATAGATATGAGAGTCCTGGATACATTAGTTACATAAATCGTACTGGACAGGGAAGACATGGACAATGTCTGCTGGTGACAAATGGGTTGAAACATGTGGTTCTTGACCTGGGCCGGTGGAATCATAGTACACTAGAGGTTCAGGGTACACAGATAGATAATGGGGGAACAACCTGGAATTTAGTAAATGTTTACACCGCTATTATCTCTCGTCACAAAGGAACATTAGGACCGGCTCAAAGAGTTGGAGTAAATCCCTGGTAATAGGCTTTTCATCTGTGGGGATTTTAATGCGCGGAATAGAGCATGAGACAGTAGTGGGGAAAATAGGCAAGGAAATGCTTTAGCAGAGGCAGTCTGTATAAATGATGGTAGGCCAACTAGAATGGCAATGAAACCTTGTGATGCAGACATGACCATTGATTTGGTTTTTAGCTGGGTTTATAGTGAAGGGGAATGGATGTCACTTGGTGCAACAAAGCCTGTCATATGATGTCACAACGTCTAGTTTGAGAATGGAGGTGGAGGCAGTCACTGATGCCCTCCGCTGGCTTGAGAATTAGCTGCACACACATGTCGTCATTGTAACTGACCCACAGAGCATGCTGAGAAAGGTGAAGACAGGCATGCTCCATGCAGAGTGGCAAGCATCACTTCAGAGGTCCTAGGTCGTTAGCATACTTTGGATATTTTCTCCAGGTGATGCCGGTGTGTTGGGAAATGAGCAGGCAGATAGACTAGTCGGTTCTGCACCACTTGGTGGTGAACTGATGTATGACAAGCTGGATGTTGTGAGGGCCCTTTGGGAGCGAGTGAACAATGCCGAGGAACAGGTAGATCATTACGGTCTGAGAAGAATGTCACTGCGAGGAGTTACAAGGGAATCTGGCCAACGCTCGACACTCAGGGAAAAGACGAGATGGATATACAATCAGACAGTTACTGGTACCATCACAATTTTAACTCTTTGTTTGCAGCTGAAGATGGGGATGGAGTGCTTATGGGGGTGTCCCGAGTGCTGTGATCTCGTTTCCTAATTCAACTGCATATATAGTAAGTACATACACGAATGCTGTGTACTACAGTGTATACAAAGAATTGTCAGCTGATTTACTTTGCTTAGTACACCTTATGCACAAGAAAAAATATACAGACTTCAACTGCTGAATAACAATCTGAACAGAAAGGTTGTAGCCTTGTTCCAGACAACTACTACATTAAAGACCCAGTCATAGCTAGTTTTTTTATTTTTTTTAATTTAACTTAATACATAATTTGTTCACACCGAATGGCACTTATACAAGACTTTAGATCCTGGACATTTGCTAATTTTGGTGATTTCTGGTTAGTTAAAAAAAAAAAAAAACCATGCTTTGAGGGATATTCAATTAGGTAAGCATCAGACTGGCAGGTTAGTGTACCAGCCACTGTGACTGTTGCCTGGAATGGTAGGATCAAAATCATCATCATTAACTGCCTTCCAGAGTTGCATGGGTGACCATTTGTCTCCATATTGTGCAATCTTCAACCATTTGTGCCTGTTTGTGTGCTGAATAGTTTAGACACTTTTCTATGCCAAAACAAAAGGCTGTAAAGAATCTTCTCTCACTGTTTGCCCCTGTCTCTGTCAGTTTTTTCTCAGTGTTAGAATGTCAATTATTGGCTATCCTCCGAAAAATGTGGTAGATTTGGAAGTGAAACTTGGAGCATCCATACATGTAAATTGCAGACCTTTTTCTGGTGTATACTGAGTAAAGCTTCCGCTGAGTTAAAGTCACCGCCAAGAGTTTCCCCTGCGCCGCTGAGGGGGAGCTTAACTAGATCACTGGGACTCACGAGCAGTAGCTACCGCATCTCCTGCAGCTTCCTCCATTTTATTGGCTTATGAGTCCCAGCCATCTAGTTTAGCGCCCCCTCTCTGCAGTGGCAGTATAGTTGCTGGAAAAGGTCCACAATTTACATATGACTGAGGCCCTGTTAGGGTATTTTCTTAGCCTCGATAACTTGAGACCGTTATCAGAGGATAGCCCAATTACTTTATAAGCCCTCTTCATCTTCTTCAGCATTTGTCCTTACAAGAGTGGTTGGCATGTAGTGTTGTGGTTTACAGCTATCCTGTGATATCTTCACCTTTGTTTATTCAAATTCTAAAAAAAGAGGGAGGATGGTAGGGGTCTATTATTTTGTTTTTGTTCTCCCAAAATCATCAAAATATGACCCGAAATCCAAACGGGAACTTTCAGGTGACAAACCCGAGCAAGGAATCATTTCATTTCTGCTGGTAATGACCACTTTTAAGAGCGGTGTAGGGCACACTATTTTTACTGACATAAAAAGAGGGAGGAGGGGGTAGTTGAAAAAACACAAACTATGTTACATACAACTCACAGCTGCATATGGAGTTAACTTTCTGAGCAGCGACCTGACACCATGATCCAGGAGCTGCACCACAGTCTATAACAATGTGGCCGGGTTTTAAAATCTGAAAGCGATCATTAATTTGTAGCAATTTATAAGCACTACGACACCGATAATTCTCCTTGCCGGCCTGCTTCACGTAAATATCCTTTCTCTGTCGTTGCAACCATACATTTGAACTGACATTATCCTTCAATAAATTGCTTGCCATACACAGGTGTCGTACATTTGTTTTATACATAAGTATATGATAATGGCATCGACTTAATACACACGTAGTTATTAAAGTGCGCCTAAGACGACAGAAAGAAGACATTTTATTCGTCTGCATGTTGACAGTTCGGGAATTCCCGAGTCTTGAGGTCGTTAGAAATGTTTCCGGTAACACTGTGGGAGCACTTTCACTTCCACACTGATGGTAGCCAGATGTGCTGTATATAGTTAGTAATTTAGTATAGATATCTTACATTTAAAATACATACCCGAGCAAAGTTCGTGCTATTGAGCATATATCACGCCTAACGTTTGTATTAGGGATAATTTCAACATAGCTTAAAGGATGATGTTACATTATAAACAAACAAACTCACTTGACTCAGCCTGAGTTCAGAGACTAAGTGTCACTTTAGACTAAGACGGTAAGTTACATTTAATGAATTTTAATTGTTTCGTGTATTTTATTATAAACATATTAGTTAAGTTTAAGTTAAGGACCCTTTTTCCACGCCTTTAGGCGTATAGGGCATATAGGGCTAGACCTATATTTTTATAGACCAATCGGCACAAGATGGGTGATGTGGTCAGTATCACGCCGGCCGCCTTTACTTTCCCGGGACTGCACCCGGTACCCACTTAAGGCTGGGTCGACCTGGGAGCCAAGGTCATTTTTGAAATAAGTCCGGCTCCGCCAGGGAGCGAACCCACGACCTTCCGATCCGCGGCGAGCGTCGGCTCTACTGGCAAATTTGGCCAGTAAGCTGGATTGCTTCGGCCGGCTTAGCGGGGCTTAGTGGGAGTTATGTCCCTTGGCCAAACTCAAAACAAGTCGCGGAAAAAGTCACGAATCAAACGGCATACTTACCTATCATCATCCGGGTGCGTGTAGGGTTGCGTTGGGTGTCTATCATCGTCCTACGGTTGCGTGTAGGGCTGCTTATTGCGTGTAGGGTTGGTTGTTTGCGTAAGATAGATGAGGGGTAGGGTTAGGGGTTAGCGTTTAGGGTTAGGTGTAGCGTTAGATGTGACAATTGTGATGCCGTAGTTCCCTACACACAGTCGCATACACGCGCAAACAGTCGATGGGCGGTGGATGCTACTGACACGGACAATTCGCCACCGATTGGGCACCAGCCGCACGCTATTGCCGTCATATTTGGCACACTTCCAGTGGCGCCACTCCCACAAGCATCAGATTGTCGGCCAGTATTTCCACCTCCTACGTGAATATTTTCACATCATCTAACCCTACCCCTAACCCTACCCCCTAACCCTCCCCCTAACCCTAACCCACACCCCTAACCCTACCGCTAACCCAAACCCTACGCAACCCTACACGCAACCGTATGATGATGATGATAGACACCCTACGTATCCCTACACGCAACCGTATGATGATGATAGACACCCTACGCAGCCCTACGCGCAACCGTATGATGATAGGTAACCCTAGGCGCAACCCTACGCAGCCCTACACGCACCCGGATGATGATAGGTAAGTATGTCATTTGATTCGTGACTTTTTTCGCGACTTGTTTTGAGTTTGGCGAAGGGACGCGAAGGTTCATAACTCCCACTAAGCCCCGCTAAGCCGGCCGAAGCAGTCCAGCTTACCGGCCAAATTTGCCAGTAGAGCCCGAGCGTCTATTATAAACATATAGGCCACTCTAAGTTTATTGTCAACTGAATAAACACATCACACAACATGCCTTGCTAGATGGAAGTTTGCTGCACTATTTCAAAGAAAGGTGGTGCGGTGATGTGTTGTTTGGTCTTCTCAGCAAGTAAGTACCTGTCAACCCAGGCCTGCCTAAAGGTTCTCACCTGTCACCAGACATGTTCAGTTTCTCTACACAATCAAGATCAAAGGAGAACAGCTGAAGAATGGCAGAGGAAGAACCATTTAATATGCGTTATGACATCCTAATATACTGACAGGACAGAAGCAGAGATGACATAATCTCTGAGCTATATAACCCTAACCTTCATCATTGTGTCAGGCCATGCAAATGTTCAAGGCAGTGAGCAGGTAGACTATCTAGTGGGTAAGGTGGTTACTATGACTTGCCCGAGAGTTAAAAGAGTTAATATCATTAATGCAGTGCAAGATGCATATTCATTTCTGTGGATTTGGGAGTGAAACTTGGAGCATCCATACATAAAAATGTCACCAATGGCACAGGATGTCTCATTAATCAACACAGAATGAGCATGCTCAGTCATTTAGCTCTTGTAGAGTTGCTGAGAAGGAGATTGGATCACTTATGAATCTGTCTGGAGTGCTGTAGTGATAGTCCTCACTAATCACTCATCACTAACTCTAAGTTACCTACCTATTGCACCACTTCAGTTTCTGATTCAGATGGGAACTTTATTGCGGCTTTCAGGACATTAGGATATAGCTGTATTTGGTGAGTTCAGTTTTTAATCTCTTCTGTCCTCATCCTTCTCATCACCTTGTTCTTCCTCTCCTCTTTCTCATCCTCTTTTTTTTCCCGCTTCAGACGTTGAGAGAGATTCTTGAGGCCACAGTGATTTTTACAGAGAATGCTTAAAGTTTCTTATGAAGTCAAAATAAGAAATCCATATAAAGACAGCTATCACAAACATCAGAAGGTGGTTATTATTATCTTTTAGCCATGGCTGAAACACGGGATAACTGGAAAGATTAATAGAATGAGGGATAAAGGTGGACAGCGAGAGAATAGTCTTGATGGTTTCTTGTTTTTGCATGGAAATGTACCAGCACAATAACTGCTCCCTGAGGTTTGATATCTGCATGTTGTAAAGAAGCAGGTTAGTCCACACCCGCTGGCAAGGCACTTGATCATTACAGTGATGGTATGATGTCAGAAGGCATTCTGAGTCAAGGTAGTTTGTGATACAAGTCTGCAGGGGTGCAGTCATGTTTTTTTAAAAAAAAATCACTTTTGATTTGTGCCTAGTTTATGTTTTCATAACCTTTGCACACTAAGAGAAATTTCTTTGCAATACCTAGTTGTAATTGCTGAGCTCTGGTAAGCAAGTTTATTCCAACTGTTCTGCCATGGAACTTTATCTCCTGTAGTATGTATACAAATTGCTGAAATCCAGATTTGTTGTAATTTTATTTTAAAATATCAAAGAAAATTTTATGATGCTAGCTTCAATTATTATTGCAGGGCTTAACATGTCAGCAGTCATGCAGAAGTATGCCACATTTATCAGCAAGGGCTTAATATCAGTTCTGCAACACAAGTATTATCTGCCCCTGAATTCACACTTTGATGGGCCCATCGAACAATTACTGAAGTATTTTAGGTCTTCCCCTCAAGCAAGACTTTTCTGTTCATGTAAGTTTTTTCGTGACCAGTATTGTTTGTTTCATTGCTCCCAGCTGTGTATAATTGGCTGAGAGAATATGGTACAGTATGTTAACATTGACTGACCTTTTTATAATAATGTGAGTCTCATTCCAGTTTTTTTCCAATTCCAGTTGTTCAACAAAAATTCAAAATTTGATCCTTTTTCAGCTGCCCGGAGGCCTGCTATATGAAGAAAAGTTCCTTGGCTATCTTATATGGTTTTCCTTTCATTTGCAGTGTGAATTCACACCTGATATTCCTGTTCTTTGTTTTCCTAAGTCTGGTGTGGTATTTGGGGTTCTGGGTCTGGTCTGACCCAGCTCCTTAGCTTCACTTATAGTGGGTTTTAGCTGATTGTTGCTGGTGCTTGGTTTAACTCGTGCTGGTGAGTCTCATAGTATTGAGTAGATTACTTATTGGAGACGTGGTTCTTGTCTCAGACAGAGGAATTCTACAATCAGAGCATCAGAAAGATGAAGATGAGCTGGGAGAAATGCACCACTTTGAGGACTGAGTATGTAAAGAAGGACTACCTTTTTAGCTGTAAAAGTTTCAATAAGTGTTTATTTTTGACAGGATATTTGTTTAGATAAAAGCCTATTTGTGACACACAGACACTCAGACGTATGTTATCTGTGCTTCCACACACAGCATCAGCAGACCCTCCAGTCAAACATGAAGTGTTGCTCAAGAAGAGGCTTAGACAAGAGAGCTTGCAGGAAAGAGCAACAGATGAAACAGAAGAATTCTTTAAACTAGCCATGAGAAAAGTTCCACAGCAAGGTAACTGACAGTCAGATGCAACAGAAAAATGTTTCTGTTTCTCTCATTGCAAATGCTACTCCATTTATATTGTTCTTGTTCATTGTTGTGGTGTAGGATTCATATTTTATTAGTCAATAAATATGTTGAATTGAGAATCAACATCACAGCACTTGGGACACTCCCAAAAGGCCTCTGTTCCCATCTTCAGCAGCAAGCAAAGAGTTCCAATTACAATGGTACCAGTAACTGTCTGATTATATATTCGTCTCGCCCTTCTGTTGAGTGTTGAGCTTCAGCCATATCCCCTGGTAACTTCCCACAGCGCCATTCTGCTCAGACCGCAATGATCTATTTGTGCATCTGCACTGTTCACTCGCCCCCAAAAGTCTCCACAACATCTAGCTTGTCATACATCAATTCACCACCAAGTGGTGCAGAACTGGCCAGTCTATGTTAGTTGATAAAGACTTCTGTCTTTATTAACATTCGGTCTTTTGATTAATAGTTACCGATTTATTGTAGAATCAAGCTTGCCAGTTGTTTTCTTCTTTTTCTTCTTAGTGTTTATCAGCTAACTCCAGCAGAAAGTTGTGGTTGTTCATCTGCTGCTGGACTATAGTCTTGTTCTGTAACCTGAATTTTCTGTGCACATCCATTTTACGGATCTGCTTATTTGTATGCAGACTGTTGGTTCCTTACCTTTTGGTGAAAAAAAAAGACCAAATAATCACCTTTTATGACATTCTTGGTAGGAAAGCAGTGGGTCTATAACCAAAACCCAACTCCAACTTGGGGCAACGGAAGCCAGTTGTTTTAATTTATGTAAATTTAAAAGGCATTTCCACAATTCTGCTCTGAAACAACACACCTTAGATGTTGAACTAAGGGAGAATACAAATATCTCTTATTTTATATCTCTCATTGTCATATTCCTATAATTCAGGAATATCCAAGAATATTTAGGGATCATTGTATCATGAACAACAACCAACCATGTGAAACAAAAATTTGTTTGACATGCAAAACAGATTAATAAAAAACAAAACATTCTCTGATCCTTTTCTGCAACATTTACAGAAAGATATATTGAGAAATGTCAAAAGTGATGATAACTGGGGAAATCTGATTCCAGAATGCAGATATAGGTCACCTCTCAAATAGTGTCAGGGGATTTTAACATTTAATTCTGTTTGTTAAAAGATACGATGAAAAAAAAAAATAATAAAATAAAAAATAGAATTAATAATAAAAACATTGAAAATATAGCAAGCTCTAAGTATATGAACCATTGACCAGATGATGATTTTGAACTTTCATGTTCCCTCTTATACACAGCAGTCAAATGGGTATTGTCCCCCTGTTTATACAACACCTTGAAACTTCAAGTTATGAAATGTGATGAATGTTACAGAATTCTTAGGGTACCATGGACAAGAAAAGTCAACATTCTTTACGAAAAAAAAAATGTTTTTAAAATGCACGAAACCTCCAGGTAACATTCTGAGCACACTTGTTTAAAAAAAAAAATGATACCATCGTAACATTTGCCTCAGTATGGCAGTTCCTGAGTTTAAGTCAAGTTACTGTTTTGTTGTTTGTTTTGTTATGTGTACAAGTAAATTATGTTGATATTTTTGTGTTACATTATATCTGCAGTTGTTGTTGTGACAACAAGTGTCTATCACCCTGACACCAGTTTATATATAAAGAGGGGAGTAACTTGCAGCACATTCTCTAGTGTTTCCTTCCGTCCACCAATTGTTTCTTTCTGCCTGAGTCAAGGAAGGTAATATAGCTGTTTGTATTTGATTCCATACCTAATCTCTGTTGTCTCTTTGTTTACAAAAGATGTACTTCACTTTATGGATTCCATGTAGGCTCATATTTATATTGATCGATTGGCACTTAATGGGTGATGTGGTTAGCATGACAACAGTACCCTTTACTTTTCAGGACATTTCCTCTTGCCTATTTTAAGCTTGGTCCACCTGATATCCCTGGTCAAATGTACGATTTTGCCTTCATTTGGATTAGAGCACAAGACCTTTGAGTCGGCAGGCAAGCATCTGGCTACTGCAATTTTACAGCTCCCACCAGATGCAGTAATGATCTCTTATTTGTTAATAAGGGTAAAGGATGGATGTGGTGTATCTTTAGCTAGGGATAGAGGATCTACCCTTGACTCAAAATGTGTCAGTTTCATCTGGTCAAAGAACCTTTTTACAAATATTTTTTTATTACAAAAAAAAAAAACAACACCCTTTTCTTATAAAAGGTAAGGTATCAAATATCAAACCTTTTGGACAAAGGTGAAAAATGAAATATTTATGTGTTATTGTTGAACGCATACAAAAATCTGCCAGCAACTGAAAATTGTAAAAAAAAATCACTCTGCAGTTTAATTTAAATGATGAGAGAACCAGTCTGAAATAGAGGAGTGGTTATGGTATACTTGCAGGGGAGATTACTCTAGTCCTTATACAAACTGTGATGATTAAAAGATGCTAAGTGTTTGTGCTTGCTCATAGTGACCACAGGATTTGGTTATAGCTTGATGTTATTTTATGATAAAAGGTGATCAAGATGATGACAGTGTTCCTAGTGGGAATGGTGTTGTTCTAGTGTAGGAATAGAATTAAATCAGTATTAATTTTGTTGCCATTGTCAGACATTTCTTAAATTTTTCTGTCTTTTTTTAAACAAAATAATACTTACATTTCATTGTGATGGCTAAATGAGTATTGTAACAGCTTTGAAGGAGGCCAACGTACAGGTCAGCCTTCACAAACATAACGAAGAAACAGTTGTCAGGTTGTGGCCAAATTATGTGAAGAGAAAAGATGGAATATGTGACAAATGAAAAGATTTATGGAATGAGAATCAGAGCATGGAAGTGAGAGAAGATTTGTAGCATCCTAGTACATAAATTGATACGTGCTGTTGAAGATTGTGAATTATAATCACCTATGACAATTGACAGAGCATACAATGATTATGACAGAAGGGTGCTATATTTTTACAGAAGTATCATAAATCAAGATAGTTCTAATAACTGAAACTAGTTTAGGAGTTATTCAACATTTTTAACTTCAGTTTAATTTGGTTATTCTATTGATGTATATTTTTGTTTGAAAGTATGCTTTAGGGTTTATTAGTACATAATAAGTATGAGTCACACATTAATTTGAAACATCCTGCAGTCTTTGTTGATCAACTCCATTGAAATGTTGAGTATAAAAATGTTTTTATGTGTGTGTTACTATTGTTGGAAAAAATCCCAGTGTGTTAGAACTAAAATATGTTAACATGAACACTGTAAAAATGCATTCATTCTTAGTGTTCTGCAATATCTTCCAAAACTGTGACACTGCATTTATTTTGTTTTTCAGTCGTATGCATTCTTTGATAAAGTCTAGAGGAACCTTTGCAGTTCACATTCTAGCTCAAGATCAGGTAATGTGATAAATATTTATTTATAAAATCATAAAGGAAATATATTTTTTCTATTTTCAATTCAGTGTTAAACTTTTTGCAAATGGTAATGGATGCAAATGTCATATTGTCCTCTCTATTTTGTTCATTTGTTGTGTTGCATCTATGCAGTCACTGACCATGTCATACAGGTAATCAGAGTGTCAGATAAAGTTATAAGGTGGTATGTTTGAACAGCTCACTTACTGGGAACATGCACATATCAGTGCTTTGACCAAACCAAGAATCAAAAGTTGCATGTGACATGAGGATAAGGCTCTCCTTTAAATAACGGTCCCAAATTATCTACGCAGAAAGTAAATCCAAACAGAGCCTCACTCATATCTAAAATTCGCATTTCTTTTGCAGCGATTCAACCGTGTCAAAAGTAGGATTAATTGCGCACAAAATTTTCGCTATCCTATGGCAGGGCCCGAGTTATATGTAAGTTGCGGACCGCTTTTTGCCGACTATAGTGCCACCTCCGAGAGTATCCCCGCGCGGCGCAAAGGGGCTAAACTAGATGGGTAGGACTCACAAGCAGCAGCTACCGCAGCTCCTGCAGCTTCCTCCAATGTATTTGCTCGTGAGTCCTAGCATCTAGTTTAGTCCCTTCCGCGGTGCGGGGGATACTCTCGGAGGTGGCACTGTAGTCGCCGAAAAAAGAAGTTCACAATTAACACGTTACTGACCCCAGGTCAGCGTACATTTCCGGCCTCGACATTTTGGGAGTGTCATTCGAAGGATAGCCTGCGATAGCATTCAGAACAGATATTCGGGCACTATTTGCAACTTCTGTGCCACAATTTTCACGTATAAAGGATTTCAATATCGGTAAGTAGTAGAATTCCCCCATTTTGCTCATACTTTTCGTTCCTTATATTTCCCGAGTTACAGCTTTTAAATGTTTGTAGGGCAGGACGTAATGAGGCTCTGTTAGAGTTAACTTTCTGCGTAGATCATTTGGGACCGTTATTTAAAGGAGAGCCTACTTTGAATAGTGGCTGATGCATAGGGAGATGATAGAAATAAGGAATTATACCATGTTTAGAGTATTTAGAAAGGCAAAGACTGAATTAGTCATCTGGAGAGAAATGTTTTGTGTTATGTTATCACAATCAGTGCCCTTTTGCATTAGGCATTCTCATGCGTGCTTAATCCTCTGATGCAGCAGCCACTCCAAGGTACCTCTATTTATTGTTCCAATGAGAAGATGTTTATAGTATCTCCTGTCTTAACCTCGAAGATGGCATAACTCCCAGGTCATGCAATTGTGTTAGTGTCAGTGATTCAATCAATTTTGTTAGCATCATAGATTCATCATTATAACTTCTGTGGAGGTTAAGAAAGGGTTTCTGAAATCTGCCTTGTTGATCTGCCATCCAGTTTTTTTTTTTAAATCTCAGAATACTTCTGGTAAACCTTTAGGTGGGAGGGGTGGATCGACAAATCTATAATTGGTGTTAGGCTTCCACTAACACCGCCCTACATTCCCTTCAGAAAATTATGTCCACCTCTACTTACTGTCTTTCTTCATCAACTTTAAAACGATTGCTTACAGTTTTCTCTATTTATTACTGCCTAGGTCCTTTCCTCCAATGTTATTATATTAGTGTCTGACATTTTTGTGTCTCACTTGATGATAACTGTTTAGGTTTGGTGTTTCTGTTTTTGTTTGCCAGTGGCCCATAGTCATGTACGCTTGCATCCACACACCAAATGTAAAAATACTGCTACATTTATCCACAGAAAGTAATAGAGTTCAGCAACATTATCAGTTATTTCACACAGACATGTAAAGTTAAGACTTGACCATAATTACATTTTTCCAACAGGTTCACCAAGGGATTCATTTCTCCAAGCCAGCCAGAGATGATATATGCCAGTTTGACAGTGTTCCACATGTTCAAGGAGAAGAGGTACAGTTAAATAATTATTGATTGTTCTTGTTTGTTTTCTGCAGACATCTGCTCTCTCTTGCATATTAAAGAACTCTAGTGTCAAGTACAAATCTTTGTTTTATTGATTCCAATTTCCCTGACCTTATACCTGGAAATTCTTCAACAAAAATGTTTGTTGCATATCTTTTACAGGATGTTGCAGAACCAACCCAGCATTTTTTGGGGATCTTGTGGTTTTACTAGGCTATTTCACTGAGTAGTTTGCCACACCATTGTTGTAGTAATGCAAAACAGCTGAATTGAACCCAGTATATATCAGAATTATGAACCCTGGTCACAGTTCCAGAGCTAATGATGCAGACATTACATATTTGTTAAAAACACTTGTGTGAATGCTAATATGTTGTAAAATAATCAGTTGTGTTTTCATTAAACAAACAAGTTAACAACAACAACAAAATGTAACAGTCATTTTTTAAACCAGTGACGCACAGGAATATTTATCAAGACTCTTATTTTTTTTTGTATAGACAATCAGCACTCAGTGGGTTATATTTTCAGTATCTTTCCAGCCACCTTTACCTTTCAGAATATTACCTGGTACCTATTCTAGTCTAAGTCAGCCTGGGAGCCTTAGTCATTTAAAAAAAATAATCTGATTTAGTAGAGATTTGAACCCAAGACCTTCAGGCTAGGCATTCTCATGCTAGCCAGTACACTACCATGTCTCCCTGTGTTTTAATAGGCACCTTATATTATAACATTTATTACTGTAGCTGGTTGGCTATGTTGATTTTGTCCCATATCTTAAACTCTCTGAATCCATAGCAATGTCTCATTTCCACCAAATACATAATTCTCACCCAATGCATCATTCCCACTAAATAAATAATTCCCACCCAATGCATCATTCCCACCAAATACATAATTCCCACCCAGTGCATCATTCCCACCAAATACATAATTCCCACCCAGTGCACCATTCCCACCAGATACATAATTCCCACCAAATACATAATTCCCACCCAGTGCATCATTCCCACCAGATACATAATTTCTACTCAGTGCATCATTCCCACCAAATACATAATTCCCACCCAATGTATCTATCCCATTTTACAGTTTATAAGATAGAGGCAGTAACTGCAGCTTTCAGTTGACTTGAGAGCAGAACAATCTGAAATGTTGTAATTGTAATGGACTCACAGAGCATGCTACTGAAAATTGAAACTCACTTCCTGTACGTGGTTACTTGAATCACTTGATAAGACTCACATCGAGAGCATACCTTGAATTTTCTGCCCAGGATACTCAGATGTGCTAGGTAACGAGCAGGCTGATAGATTAGCTGCTACTACTCTTCTGAGCAGTGAGCTAGTTAATGATAAAGTGGACATGGTGAAGGCTCCTTGGGATCACATGGACAGGGCAGTAGAACAGACAGAAGATCCATACATTATAAGATTGTTCAATGAGGAGTGAGTTCTGGAAGATATTCAACACTGAGAGGGAAACAGGTGGACTTTTAATCAGGCTGTAACTGGTACTATTAGCATGGCTACTGAAGAAGGGGACAGAGCACATGTGGGTGTGTCCAGATTTCAGTGATGTCAATTCTTGATTCATTCATTCACTGTATATATTTACAGGAAAACATTGCTATGACTTAGAGATATGACAGAATGTAATGTTGTTGCAGGGTTTACCAATAATACTGGGCTGCTTGGCAGTTCTGCTGTGTGACAGTCACTCGTACCATGCTGTTGGTGATCACATGGTTTGGTATGGCAATGTTCATGGTGTCAGTGTGTCAGAAACCCTTCAGGAGCCACTCATTTATTTCACTAGGTCAGATTTCTCATTGTTTCTTACTCCTAAGTCTGTCTGATACATAGGTGGTCAGTATTACTTATTGGCCAGTTTGATATCATTACAGTTGGTTGATTCTTACTTTGTATTATAACATTTATCAGTACATCATCTTTGACATACTAATGACAGTGCAGCATTAAATAGTAAATAGGTTTTAGGCTTAAACAACAGATCAGTATCATGGCACAAGGGTAGGAACCCATAAATGCTCCGTTCTACTTGTAAGTCGAGTCTGAGTCAGAAGATTCTCAGCGCAGTGCACAAACTCCGTATCACTGGCGAGGATCCTGAAATACTTTGTGTAGATTTTAACTCCAAATTTTGCTGGGCAGCGCCATTAGTCTACTATTTTCGGTTTTCAACTGCTAAGGGATTTTTTTTACATGCGCAACAATACACATGGGTGTCCGATCTTACTACCCAAAGACCAGGGGAAATTACTAGAAGTCCATGTGAAAAAATCCTAGCCTTTGCCGAGGCCTAAACCCAGGACGTCCAGCACTCGAGGCAGACGTCATGCCTTGAGTTCACGTAGCCCTCTATTTTATACAGTAAATGATTGGACCAGCTGTACTCTTTTTTATGTTTTGAAATGTAATAAGTAAAAGGAAAACACCAGAGTGGTGAATAAGGGTTTTTCAAGAATACCAAAGCAAATACTACAGCGGGTGTTCTAGCTGTTCATCATTTAGTGGACACAAATACAAAAACGTGTAAATAGGAAGATGTGTAAATATGTGCATGGGAACAACTGAAAGCAGTTACTTGATCAAGTTTAATGTCAGCTATAGTTTTTTTGGCTATCCTCCGACAAACAGTCGGCAAAGATGGCGGCGGCAAAATATCTAGCCGAGCCGCGGTCACAGGTCATTGCGCGCTTCTGGCTACTTAATTTGCTGTCTTCCGGTGGTTTTCGGCCAACAACCACTACCGCCATGTGCCCCCACGCCGCTCGCGTGGCATTTAATGGGACTAAACTAGATGGCTAGGACTCATGAGCAGCAGCTTCCGCATCTCCTGCAACTTTTCTAGTGAGTCCTATTCATCTAGTTTAGCCTCAATCCACGCCGCTCATGCGGCGTGGAGGCCACCTGGCGGTAGCCATTGTCGCCGGAAAAGCGCACATGAAGTAGCCGAAAGCGCGCAATTTACCCATGACCCCAAGCGCGCAATGACCCGTGACCGCTGCTCGGCTGGATATTTTGCCACTGCCATCTTTGCCGACTGTTTGTCGGAGGATAGCCGTTTTTGTTTTCTTATACATTTTTGTACTACCATTTATTATTTGTTTTGGTTTGTTTGCAGGGGAAAAAAATGCTGAAAATGACTTTGAGGATATTGTGCTCACAGAAATGCTGGCTGAAAATACAGTGTTAGATAATATAACAACAAATATAAGAATGTGTGAATATTTGGTGTAGGGTGGGCTCAGAAAGAAAGGGTGTATAAAAGGAAAAAGTTTGAAGTGGTCACAGCCAGTGTTCAACTGAAGCAGTTTATGTCTAGTGATGCAGTTGGCAGAGACCCTGGGTGTACTGTGTACTGTGATTTGATTCTAAAAACAAAAGTCAGCCAATGAGGCCAATACTGAGGAACAGGATAACCATTCAGCTGTAATTCTCATTCAGCTGCAATTGGGATGAGAACCCACAATGCAAACAAGCTTGGGAAACCAAACTTGGTCCAATGAGTGAATAGGCCAGTAGTCTAACCACTGTGATATAAGCCTTAGTACCTAATGAGTATGTTATTCTACAGTTGGTAGTTAACAGTTTTCATTTTATAAATGTGCGATAGTTGATTTGATCTTCCAGAAAGTTTACATCTGTGGGTGATGAGATTTTCTTGAAAGCTTTTGAAGATGCCACATTGCCATTTGAAAACTGGACACATGAAGCACATCTTCGCATGGCTTGGAACTATATTAAGGAGCATGGAAAAGATGGTGCAGTCCCGTATATTAAGTACGCTTTTTTTTTAAAATTGTGATTTGTATTTTATCTGTTTATTTCTGTAATGTTTTTTCTTTCTAATTCTTCTATCTTAAATCACTTGACCTTTTCTATTCTTTGTTTATTGTTTTGTAATTTAATGCAGATAATATGTTGAGTTGGATATTGTGAGCGACTGTTTTGTAGTGTGAATGTTGCCAACAGTTCAATTTGAAATAGATTTGTGTATGTGTGTGCGTGCGTGTCTCTCTCTCTCTCTAAAAAAAACTAATTCTGTTTATTGTTCACCTGTAAAAATAGATACAAACAAAAGTAAGACAGATTGTTATTATATATTGATGTAATTTATAATCATAAACTATAATTATCAAATCTAATTAATACTCACAGTAAATAGCAGATACATGAATATTTGATCTTATGTTTATTGGCAATATTTTCATGCGATTTTCCATGTTGATGAAACAATTTTTCCTTGCAGGTTGTACATTCAGAAATACAATGAGAGACACAGAGGAAAGGTAAGAACAATTAGCATTGGAACCTCAGTTTTTGCTTGGAAACTGAATTGTTCAAAAACTGAAATGATTTTTCCTATAGGAAATATATGGGTTTGGTTTGGCTGTTTGGGACTTTAAATTGTTATAAAATTTCTTTGCAAATCAAATTTGTTAGGGATCAGAGTAATTCTAGTTCTTAATCTCTACTGTTTATATTTGGAAAATACTGTTGAACATGTCTATCAAGGAACGCTTTTTCATAAATGCATAACCCATATCAGAAGTTCCCTAGTATTTACAAAATGGATGCAGTCATCACTCATATTAATCTGTGACCATCTTTCATTTTAATGTACTGCTATATCTGCACTCTTATTAATATGTGACTATTTCTATCATCATCATCATAAACCACTTCTGCCGTTAAGCGATGTGGGGAGGAATAATTTGCGATCCAGTGCACGTTGGCTGCCACTGGCTATTGTCATGCCGTAAAGGTGTAGAGTGTCTTTAATGTTGTCAATCCGTAAATTTTCCAGGGCCGTCCTCTTGCTCCTGTAGCTGATCTTGTGAGATGTGCTTGACGAGATGGCCAAACCACTTGATCTGCTGTTTCTCCATCTCTGAGGCCTCAGAAATTGTTTGGCCTGCCTACCGATTGTCCAGGATTCACAGCCATATGTTAAAACTGGATGCATGTAGCAAGCAAGAATTCTTTTTCTAACTCTCAATGACACGGACATATTGCACAAGATGTTCTTCATTTTATAAAATGCAGTTTTTGCCTGTCCTATTCTGTTTCTTATCTCAATTATGCATCTTCCATCTGATGTTATCCATCTGCCCAGATACTTAAATTTCTTTACTTGTCCCAAAATAACACCATCGACTTTTATTACACATTTAGGAATAGTTTGTTTCTTTGATACCACCATTACTTCTGTCTTCCTTTTATTCAAACTAAGACCCATTCTTCCACTTTCTAACACCACAATGTCTATCTGTAGTTCTTTCTGACTTGTGGCTATCAAGACTGTGTCATCAGCACAACGTAATTGTTTATATTGTGCCCACCAACCACAATTCTGGGCTTATCAATTAAAGATCTCATATATTTACAGTATATTGAAAACAAATCAGGTGAAAGTACACATCCTTGTCGTACGCCCCTCTTTATGCTCTTAAATGTACCTAAACAGTTGTTAATTTTTATAGCTGCTCTTTGCTGCCAATACATATTCTTTATTATTCTTAGATCTTTTCCATTAATGTTTAATTTTTACAACACTTCACATGGCCAAATGCTTTTGTATAGTCTATGAAGCATAAGTACAAATCAGTCTTTATTTCTATAGCTCTTTCTGACAATGTCCTTAAGATGTACATGGCATTGTTTGTACCTTTTCCTTCTACAAATCCACATTGTTCATCGCTGATTTCTGGTTTAATTTTGTTTCTTAATTATTCTCATAATTATTCTCTCTAAAATCTTAGTAATGTGACTCATAAGACTTATTGTGCGATGGCCTTCACATTTTAAAGTGCCTGGTTTCTTTGACAGAGCTATAAATATGGATTTTAAAAGGCAATTTGGAATATACCCACTATAATAAATATCATTTAAAAGTTCAGTTATTATTTCAATTCCAAAATCTCCCAGTGCTTCGATTTATTCCAGTGAGATGTTGTCTGGCCCGGGTGCTTTTCCTTTCCTCATATGATGCAATGCATCCTAACTGCTGCAGTCATTATTGGTGGACCATAAGCTATATCAGCACTCTCATTAATCTGTTAATTGTGCTTTTCACAGTGTCTTTTATTGTAGTGTTCAGCTATATCAATACTCTCATTATTCTGTTAACTGTGCCCTTCACAGTCTTTCATTGTATTGTTCAACTGAATCAGCATCGTTATTAATCTATTACTGTACCCTTCAATTTAGTGTTCAGCTATTCAGCACTCTCATTAATCTGTTACTTTAGTGTTAAGCTGTATCAGCAGTCTTATTAATTTATTACTGTTCCCTTCACTGTAGTGTTCATCTGTATCAGCACTCTCATTAATCTGTTAACTGTGCCCTTCACAGTGTCTTTCATTGTAGTGTTAAGCTGTATCAGCACTCTTATTAATCTGTTAACTGTGCCCTTCACAGTGTCTTTCATTGTAGTGTTAAGCTGTATCAGCACTCTTATTAATCTGTTAACTGTGCCCTTCACAGTGTCTTTCATTGTAGTGTTAAGCTGTATCAGCACTCTTATTAATCTGTTAACTGTGCCCTTCACAGTGTCTTTCATTGTAGTGTTAAGCTGTATCAGCACTCTTATTAATCTGTTAACTGTGCCCTTCACAGTGTCTTTCATTGTAGTGTTAAGCTGTATCAGCACTCTTATTAATCTGTTAACTGTGCCCTTCACTGTAGTGTTCATCTGTATCAGCACTCTCATTAATCTGTTAACTGTGCCCTTCACAGTGTCTTTCATTGTAGTGTTAAGCTGTATCAGCACTCTTATTAATCTGTTAACTGTGCCCTTCACAGTGTCTTTCATTGTAGTGTTAAGCTGTATCAGCACTCTTATTAATCTATTACTGTACCATTCACTTAGTGTTCAGCTATTCAGCACTCTCATTAATCTGTAACTGTGCCCTTCACTTTAGTGTTCATCTGTATCAGCACTGTCATTAATCAGTTAACTGTACCGTTTACAATGTCTTTCACTGTAATGTGTCAGCATTGGTTTGTTTTCTTTCAGCTGAGGTCCACTTACCATGAAACCATCACAATGTTTTTCATCCACATAGTCTCAGATGCAGTCGTTAGAAGTGTGAATGCCAGTGAAAGCTTTGAGGAATTTCTCTCACACAACAAACACTTGATGGATAAAAGTCTGATTTTAGACTACTACAATAAAGATACCTTGTCCCAAGAGCAGGCTCGCAATAGGTAACTGAAGTGTTCTCTTGTGATATTTGCAAGCACAAAAAGCCAGAAGTTTGTGACAGTTATTATTTATTTACATATTTATGATGTCCTTTTTGTTTTGAAATGTTTTTGTTGTTGTTACCTTTTGGGATTGTTGTGTTGTCTGTCAGTTACAGTGTTAATTCATAGATTGTTGGTCTGACCAGTCCAATTGTTTACCCAGATTGTTGCCAGTTGGACCAGTCTGAATGTTTACCCAGATTGTTGCTAAGTAGACCAGTATGATTGTTTACCCAGATTGTTGCTAGGTGGACCAGTCTGTGCTTGTCTACCTAGGTTGTTGCTAGTTGGGCCAGTCTTATTGTTTACCTAGATTGTTGCTAGTTGGACCAGTCTCTGATTGTTTACCCAGATTGTTGCTAGTTGGACAGTCTGATTGATGATCCAGAGGCTGTTGTTTTGACCAATGAGAATGATATGTGCCTCACTGCATTAAAATCACATTTATGTGTGCCCTACCACAGTAGCACAACCGCAGTGTTTACCCCACTGCAGTAGTATCATATTGATGTGTACCTTACCACAATAGCACAACCATTTTGTTTACCCCACTGCAGTAGTATCATATTGATGTGTACCTTACCACAATAGCACAGCCATGGTTTTTACCCCACTGCAGTAGTATCATATTGATGTGTACCTTACCACAATAGCACAGCCATGGTGTTTACCCCACTGCAGTAGTGCCCTACCACAGTAGCACAACCATGCAACCCCACTGCAATAGTTTTAAAAAAAAAACCAACAAACAGAACTCCACAAGTGAAGGTTAGCCATAGTGTACCCACTTCCGTCTTTGGCAATATTCTGTGATAATGCCTCTGTCTCTTCCATGGTGCAACTCACACACAACTATCCAAGACCAAGATAATGATTACACACAAAAATTTTTATTAGAAACTGTCGTGAAATGATAGCCATTACAAGTCTGTAAGGCTGATAACCTGTCTTACCTGTAATCTGCACAAAATTCAAACTTGGACTCGCCCAGAAATATATAGTCCCTTATATCTATATATATAGGCCTGTATTGGACAACATTATTATGTCTGCCTTTTCTGGTTACTTTAACTAAACTCCACTTTTAAATGTATATCTCTTGGAGATATATTAAGGGAGTTATTTGAGGTTTCTTGGAAACCGATTTACTCCTTGCACAAGTATACAAGGGACTTCTTTTGTACCGACGCCTGAAGTGTCTAAGTGACGCTATTCTCCTTGCCAGCTTCTCAAGCGTCCAGATGTGTTAATCTGTGCCTGTATAAATTTCACTTTTCAAAGCAATCTGGAAATGTCTCAGTTTTTACATATGCTTGGGATGTATATTTTCTGAAGAGCTGGCAGAAGATTCACAGTTCAACCAACATCCACCAACCATCAAACCACCAGAAACAACTTGTTACCCACCAGCTAACACCTGTGAAGGTTCCTGACATCTCCAAAATGTGGGAGATTGTACCTCAAACAGCTACCAGTGCTAGAGCTTAATGTGGCTCAAAGACATTGTGTGTCCTTACTGGTGATAGAGACTTGCTAAATACCGGTACAGTTGCTGTCTCCTATATAGTGAAGTACTCTTACTACTTGATCCAGTGGAGCAGAATTCCCAGAGTCAAAGACAGTCGAATCATCCGGAGCTGAGGGAGGCATCATAGACAGAAAGAAGAGAAGATAAGTCTGATGCTTCGCATGATGTTGTGTTCCTCACAGCTCCTTGTGTCCAGTGATGAGAAGATGTCATCTCCAAGACCTTCTGTCTGTGTAGTATCTTTGTGATTTGGACATGATATCCTGAGATCTGGCATTTGTCTCACTTTTATATATCTAATTTATATTGATTACATACATTCATTTTCATGGCTGACTTAGGTGTCTCTATTTCACCTTTTTAAGTGTTTAGCAGTTGTGTATGTATGTGTATCTTCTTTATATGTGTTAACATGGTTATGATAATGAACTATCATAACCTGGGGGCTTTCTTTAGTAAGTAGTGGGGGTGTCCAGCCAAGTGTGCCTAGAAGTATTATATATATATACTGACATATTTTGTAGTGCCAATACTTGAGTTGCCCTACTCCAGAGATAAGTTGATCGTATATTGGCCACGGGGAATCCCTTAGACCAATACGAGCCAAACGACTCAACATAATTATCTCTGAGTGCTGTTGGTTCTGAAGGAGGAATCCTTACATTAGGCACGCGACAGGAGTGATATGTGACAGAAATTGAATCCTGAAATTGTTAATCGCAATCAGTAACCTTCAAGCTACAGAGCTGCACTCTGCAATAGTACAGATCTGGCACATACCGCCATTTTTAGAAGACCTCGTTGAACTGTGAATATTGTACACAGTTACAGTTTTTACAATTACCTTATGTGTGCAGCTTGATTTTATTACACCCCCCCCCCCCCTTCTCTCTCTCACACACACATGCACACACACCCACCCCCAACTACACACACAATTTCATCATCTGTTTAGTTATTATTAGTTGGGGTTTTTAAATTGAATTCTTGGGGGCTGTGTGGTCATAAGGCATGGTGTCCACCTCTATTGCTAGAGGTTCTGGGTTCAATCCCCGGTAAGGGATGGGATTTTTTCTATGGACTTGAACCTCTAGTAATCCCCCCCCTGGTCTCTGGGTAGTGAGATTCCCTTGGCAGTTGGAAATCAAAAAGAGTAAGTAGCCTCAGGGCGCTGCCCGGCAAAATTTGGAATTACAAATCTACCCAGAGTATTTCAGGATCCTCACCAGTGCCACAGAGCCTGTGCACTGTGCTGAGCTTCTTTGGACTCAAACTTGAGTTAGAAGAAGAACGTAGCACTTATGGGTTACACCTGTGTGCTATGATGTTGATCCGTTGTTCAAAACCTCAAAACCCCACATTAAATTCTCTTGTACATTTACATTTTTTTCTGTCATTATAATTTCTTATATGTTGACAATTGTGTTTCATTGTAATCCCTTATATGTTGACAGTTGTGTTTCATCGTAATCCCTTATATGTTGACAATTGTGTTTCATTGTAATCCCTTATATGTTGACAGTTGTGTTTCATCGTAATCCCTTATATGTTGACAGTTGTGTTTCATTGTAATCCCTTATATGTTGACAATTGTGTTTCATTGTAATCCCTTATATGTTGACAGTTGTGTTTCATCGTAATCCCTTATATGTTGACAGTTGTGTTTCATTGTAATCCCTTATATGTTGACAGTTGTGTTTCATTGTAATCCCTTATATGTTGACAGTTGTGTTTCATTGTAATCCCTTATATGTTGACAATTGTGTTTATTTTTTCTGTCACTGTAATCTCTTTTACATTCACATTTCTTTCTAAACAGGTTTATCTACCCTGACAAAAAGGATCTACCTTGACCTTTGCTTCTGCTGTTGCCAGATGTGTGATTCAGAAGTGGTAGCGGAATTTAAAGATAAGGATAATTATTGGCCTACTTTCATATGAGTATTATCTATTCTTGTATAGAATTTGATTCCAGTTTATCATTAAGATTAGTTGGGAGTTGAGTTGTGTTGATTCAAGAGCCGACATAACAGCACTCAGGGCAGTCCCATCCTCATCTTCAGTAGCCTGCACAAAGTTCCAATATCAATGGTGCCAACAGCATTCTGATTATTCATTCATCTTGCTTTTTGTCTGAGCGTTGAGTATCGACCAGATCCCCTTATCACCTCCCCGCTGCATCACTTTCACCAAATTATTGTGATCCATTTGCTCCTCTGACTTGTGCACATTCTTCCACAAGGCCCTAACCACTTCTGCCTTATCATGGGTCATGTTGATTTCCCAGCACTCTATCATCCTTGGAGAAACAATCTAGACAATACTCCTCACCCGTGATCTCTGAAGAGAAGCATACCACTCAGCACAAAACATGCCTGTCCTCACCTTCCGCAACATGCTTTCTGAGTCAGTTATAATCACGGTGTGTGTGTGTGTTTCGTGTTCACCAGCTTGAGGAAAGCTGCAGTGACCACCTCCACCTCTATTCTTAGGCTGGCTGTTGTGGTTTCATACGCTAGGCTCTCCTGCACCAAATGGCGACAATTGGCTTTTGCTAAGAACCTCTTAGCACTTCTTTTGCCTCTTGACACTGAACCATCTGTATAAATAATCACATCCTCTGAACGAGCATTATCTTGAATAAACTGCTGAATTACCACCTTCAGGGCACCTCTTGGCCACTCCCTGTACTCCTGGCTTAATGTAATTATGACTCTAGACAAATCTGATGGGAGTTGAAGCTTTTCAAATGAATGAATTCTGTCTGCTGCAAGCAGTATGTGACTATCCTGTAAACCCCAGCGATTGCATAATATGTTCTATAATTGATTACATTTGACCATGGCATGATAGAGAAATCTGGCTTCCCCACTGATCACTGTCAGTGCACTAGACATTTTACTGAATGGTTATTACCTGGGTCAGTCTTTTCAAGCCAGTCAGTTGTACTGTTAAAAAAAAAAAAAAAAGAGAACCGAATAGTTATCTGATGGCAAATTTTTACTAGCTATAGGAAAGCATGTAAGTCCTAAAACTATCCATGACCTATATGCAAAACAACTCATTTGATTGGTTGAGCCCTAAGTATTTGTGTGTGCAATTTGAATAATTTCACTCATAAAATTACAAAGATTTTTGAGTGTCAAAATTGTGTTCCTTTTAGTAGCAATTATTTAGTTTTAATTGTTGTTGGATAGTGTATACAAATCTACTTCAATGTGCCTTCAACCCCAAGACCTTCGTGCTGCAAGTGGGCATCTTGCAACTACAGCTCCTGTCTATTGAACGCTAATCTCTTACACTGTTTTCTTAGTCTGCATTGCTCATCTGTGTTTTTAAACTCAGTCCCTTACTCCCCTTTAGTTGATTGCATTCTATCAGATCTCTGCACCTATACAAGAGACCGAGTCGGTATAAGAACGTAAAGGTCTCTTTGAGCCAGTTGATGAAAGTTTGCCTAGATGTGTACAACATGGCAGACCATGTTTGGGATGTAGAGATTATTACATAGTACATACAAGAAAACATTGGAGCTGTAAACCATGGGATAGGTGTGAAGGTGGCTGGCATGGACTTTATATGCTGGCAAAAAATCAGTAATAAACAATACAGCATACATTTCATGTTCACTCCAAACATAATATTATGCTCATGTTGCCTTTGATCATAGATAGATGTTATATCCTTCTTCTGTTGTTATCTCACTGTTACTGGTGCGCAGCCCAGGGTTGTGGAAGAAGAAGTTGTATTCAGCCAAGATCTAAATTATTGTGCAGCTCTGTGACCCAGAGGTTAATGTATGCAGTTCACAGTATCACAGTGATACACTCAGTGTATCAGGATCCAGTTTCCACAGCCAGCATTTATTAAAGAAACAGTTCTTGTGATATGAAGGTCGTGCTTGGGGAGAGACTGGGGCTCAACGCATAATGTCCCAAAGTCAGCAGTAGTGCAATGCAGCCATCTTTCAGTGAGGAGACAGCACTAATTAAAAATAAAAATGATTAATTCAACAGCTTCTCTCCTATAGCGTCTCTGAATAACTCCACCAGACTGAAATGCTTTTTGATTTTAAGCTCAGCTGATTGGAATAGAAGGACCTATAAGTAACTGATTGGGACTGAACATCCTCTTAATGTCATTGTAGTTTTTGTAGTCAGTTCATCTAGTAACATATTGTTCATATGTTAGTTGGGTTTCATACTAGCTTGCATGGGTGGATTTGGAAAGAAAAGAGAAGTTAAAATTGACCCAGCTTTATATGGGTACCAGGAAAAGTTCTGGGAAGTAAAGATGGCTGCCATGAGATTGGTGAACTCATAACCCTACAAGTACTGATTGATTTATACAAATATCAGTCTAACATTACAAGCCTGATATGCCACAGGCAGAAAAAGGGTCATCTACCTTACTGACTGAAAATGGTGCTTTCATGATTAGCACGGTGACAGCATTTGATTTTATCCTTAGGGAGATCATTTTAAAATATGATGCAGTGGAAGCAATATTGACGTACTGATGCAGTGGAAGCAGTATTGACCTACTGATGCAGTGGAAGCAATATTGACCTACTGATGCAGTGGAAGCAATATTGACCTACTGATGCAGTGGAAGCAGTATTGACCTACTGATGCAGTGGAAGCAGTATTGACCTACTGATGCAGTGGAAGCAATATTGACCTACTGATGCAGTGGAAGCAGTATTGACCTACTGATGCAGTGGAAGCAATATTGACCTACTGATGCAGTGGAAGCAATATTGATCTACTGATGCAGTGGAAGCATTATTGACCTACTGATGCAGTGATAGCAGTATTGACCTACTGATGCAGTGAAAGCATTACTGACCTACTGATGCAGTGGAAACAGTATTGACCTACTGATGCAGTGGAAGCAGTATTGACCTACTGATGCAGTGGAAGCAGTATTGACCTGCTGATGCAGTGGAAACAGTATTGACCTACTGATGCAGTGGAAACAGTATTGACCTACTGATGCAGTGGAAGCAATATTGACCTACTGATGCAGTGGAAGCAGTATTGACCTACTGATGCAGTGGAAGCAATATTGACCTACTGATGCAGTGGAAACAGTATTGACCTACTGATGCAGTGGAAGCAGTATTGACCTACTGATGCAGTGGAAACAGTATTGACGTACTGATGCAGTAGAAACAGTATTGACCTACTGATGCAGTGGAAACAGTATTGACCTACTGATGCAGTGGAAACAGTACTGACGTACTGATGCAGTGGAAGCAATATTGACCTACTGATGCAGTGGAAGCAGTATTGACCTACTGATGCAGTGGAAGCAGTATTGACCTACTGATGCAGTGAAAGCAGTATTGACCTACTGATGCAGTGGAAGCAATATTGACCTACTGATGCAGTGGAAGCAGTATTGACCTACTGATGCAGTGGAAACAGTATTGACGTACTGATGCAGTGGAAGCAGTATTGACGTACTGATGCAGTGGAAGCAGTATTGACCTACTGATGCAGTGGAAACAGTATTGACCTACTGATGCAGTGGAAACAGTATTGACCTACTGATGCAGTGGAAGCAGTATTGACCTACTGATGCAGTGGAAGCAGTATTGACCTACTGATGCAGTGGAAGCAATATTGACCTACTGATGCAGTGGAAGCAATATTGACCTACTGATGCAGTGGAAGCAGTATTGACCTACTGATGCAGTGTAAGCAGTACTGACCTACTGATGCAGTGTAAGCAGTACTGACCTACTGATGCAGTGGAAGCAATATTGACCTACTGATGCAGTGGAAGCAATATTGACCTACTGATGCAGTGGAAGCAGTATTGACCTACTGATGCAGTGGAAGCAGTATTGACCTACTGATGCAGTGGAAGCAATATTGACCTACTGATGCAGTGGAAGCAGTATTGACCTACTGATGCAGTGGAAGCAATATTGACCTACTGATGCAGTGGAAGCAGTATTGACCTACTGATGCAGTGGAAGCAATATTGACCTACTGATGCAGTGGAAGCAATATTGATCTACTGATGCAGTGGAAGCATTATTGACCTACTGATGCAGTGATAGCAGTAATGACCTACTGATGCAGTGAAAGCATTACTGACCTACTGATGCAGTGGAAACAGTATTGACCTACTGATGCAGTGGAAGCAGTATTGACCTACTGATGCAGTGGAAGCAATATTGACCTACTGATGCAGTGGAAACAGTATTGACGTACTGATGCAGTGGAAACAGTATTGACCTACTGATGCAGTGGAGGCAGTATTGACCTACTGATGCAGTGGAAGCAATATTGACCTACTGATGCAGTGGAAACAGTATTGACCTACTGATGCAGTGGAAGCAGTATTGACCTACTGATGCAGTGGAAGCAGTATTGACCTACTGATGCAGTGGAAGCAATATTGACGTACTGATGCAGTGGAAGCAGTATTGACCTACTGATGCAGTGGAAGCAATATTGACCTACTGATGCAGTGGAAGCAATATTGACCTACTGATGCAGTGGAAGCAGTATTGACCTACTGATGCAGTGGAAGCAGTATTGACCTACTGATGCAGTGGAAGCAATATTGACCTACTGATGCAGTGGAAGCAGTATTGACCTACTGATGCAGTGGAAGCAATATTGACCTACTGATGCAGTGGAAGCAATATTGATCTACTGATGCAGTGGAAGCATTATTGACCTACTGATGCAGTGATAGCAGTATTGACCTACTGATGCAGTGAAAGCATTACTGACCTACTGATGCAGTGGAAACAGTATTGACCTACTGATGCAGTGGAAGCAGTATTGACCTACTGATGCAGTGGAAGCAATATTGACCTACTGATGCAGTGGAA